ATAGCACACCCAATTCACATTTACAAAGTATTTCTTACTTTTCTATTTGTTTTTTAGCAGATTACACACAGGACTCTACAGGCAGCTTCCATCACATCAAAGGGCTTGATTACACCTAATCCAGTGTGTTCCAGCACGGTTGGTAGCTGGAATGCACTGTATCGCATGAGGGGGCCTGGAGATACATTCAAGTCAATGGGACCACAGCCACGTCTCCTGCCTTGCAGTGCATTTAACTGCACCAAAACACATGGCACAACAATGCCCAAGGTACAGTGCAATCGTAAAAAATAAGTCATGCATGCAGGGAGAATTTTATTATGCGATCTAGTGCATTCCAGCTACTAACCGTGCAAAGTGAGAGACAGTAATATGCAATGCACCAGCCAAACCTGAGATCATTAACCCTTTGTTAGTACAGACAGTCCTGTACATCTGATCATAAGCCAGTTCACACAGGGTTAATTATAGTGACCATTACTTCCAGCCCCATCCCTAACATTACATTCAATTGGGAAATATAAGAATATCCAGCAAGTAAAAAGGTGAACAGCAATGTTTGTTTAAACGGTTAGGTTGTGTTAGGAACATTTAACACATATAAAATAGGATTCTATTCCAATCTGGCTGCAAAAAAGTGCAAATTAACTTTAGTCTTTGCCCCATGAATATTCACAGACTATGTGACAGAGCTGGAAGAAAGTGATGCCAGGGGGGACGTGGAACGCAGCTCCATGCTGGGACTGTGAGCCTCTGTCTGCAGCAGCAAAGCTTCCCTCAGTACATGCAGGGACCGTCACTCTCTCTCAGGAACACTCAATGATCTCTGACTATAATATTACCTCCTAGCTGGCTCCGGGCAAAAGCTGAGGCTCTTGTTATCATCAGCACTAACTTCCTGTCAGAGCCATACGGGGAAAACGCAGCCCAAGACGTCTGAAGAGCTGAGGACATTGTTCCTGTGATGGTGCCCTATCCACCGGCTACACTGTCACAGCTTATTAACACTTTGCTGCCGAGCTCTGCTCCCCAACACCTCCTGAGTTACAGTCAGAGCTGGGTTTGCAGTCTGACACTACAAGTGGTCAAGGGGCAGCTGCTTTGGGCCCCACAGCAATGACTGGGCCCGGGCACCTGCCCTTTTTGCCCTGCCTTAAAGACGACCCTGACTGCTCATATCTAACAACATGATAGATTCAATTAGACTTAATATAGTATCAATCTACAGCCTGTCGGAAATAAGTGAGGGGGCACAAACTAATATTGTTAAGAATGAAAAATTATATTTAAAAGTTAAAAAAAGGAGGCATGTAGGGAAATTTTAAAATAATTAGTAAAGGAACAAGTTATAATCCATATTTAACCCTTTCGGTGTTGGAGAAAAATATGCTAAAAAGAAATACATATTAAATATCCACCATACTATATTGTGAGAAATTGATTCAATTAGGCTATGTGAAAACACTCAGCGGTGCCATATCGGAATTATCTGCGGGTGGAGTAAGTAGATGTTATAGCGAACTTAAAAAGTGAATACAGAGTGACTGAATGGAAGGGCGTGCCCCTAGAGGAGAAGGGGGGCAGGAACAAAGCAGAAGGTTAATAACGCTTTTGGTCTTCCCCCATTCTTTTGTTTTGGCGATAGCTCCGATAGCATAAGTAAGGGCTGGGTGATGCGCAGAACTAATGTTAAAGTTAATGTTGATTTGAGAAATATTTAATTTGCTGATTTGGATACATATGTTAAAAGCCGGATTTGAAAGATCTTATGGAAACTAATAAAAACTTTGAAAATGAAAAAGTGAATACAATAAATAAGATAAACTATAGTGGCAACATTACGGGCATACAGAAAACTGAAGAATCAGTAAGCATTGAACAAATTGGCCCTTTCTGCTTCAAGATATACCAAAGAGAGATGTGTATGTCACCATTGTTATATTATGAAAAATAGGTTCAATTATACTGACTAAAACAGTGCCCTGTCAGAACCATTTGCAAATAGAATGTATAAATATTATTAAAACCGAAAGATGGACATAAAAAATATATAGTAAACATTACAAAATAACATCAATGGTATATAGGAAATCAGTAATCCAAGATTAATGTTTAACACTTTCGACATCATCAATCAATAAATAAGCCCACAAAAAAGTAATTGAACATTAATTCACATAATTAATAATTTCTTAAAAAACAGTTCAGATCAAAATCTATATTTAACCCTTTTGGTGTCAAAGTATCCAGAAAAAATATCCACTTTGATTAATTTCTGGATACAGAAGAATAATTACCAATTAGGCCATATTGAAGAGATGTTCTTGTGGGGTCAGATCCACCCACTATATTACAGCAGTCTAGAAAAACACTTCCTATATATAATGCCCCTACTCAATCATTCCTAAGAAAGCAGTTCAGATCTAGCACTATTTTGATCGCACCGGACCGGATAGCAGGCATAACTCAATCTATCAAAACTTAGGAATTATTGAGTTGGGGCATTATATATAGGAAGTGTTTTTCTAGACTGCTGTAATATAGTGGGTGGATCTGAGCACACAAGAACATCTCTTCAATAAGGCTTAATGGGTAATTATTCTTCTGCTATGAGCAAGGTTTGAAAAATCCACTCGTCTGCTCGTCTGTGACGAGAGGATGGTGGAGCCTGACGAGCAACTTCTCAGCCGGCCGTGGTAATTACATGGCCGGCCTCTTTACAGTCAAGCGATCGAGCGTCTCTAAGAGTTGCTCGATCGCTTGTATTAGCAGCTGTCACTGCCGATCCCGAGATCTGCTGTGCCCGATGCAACCGGCACGGCTCTGTGACAGGAGATCAAAGGGAGTTCAGTATACGAACTCCCTTTGATCTCTTCTCAGTCCCCGAATGCAGGAAGTGATGTATATTACATCACTTCCTGCATTCAGTGTCACTCTCCAGCTAAAGAAGCTGATGAAGCAGATCTCTGCATCAGCTTCTCTGGGGGTCCCTAGGTGACATTAGGGGTCTTGGAGACCCCTGATGTCTCCATAAAGAGGACCTGCCATGTAAATTGGCTATCACATAGGGGGCTTCTTAGCCCCCCATGTAATAGCAATAAAGTTGTTTGTAAAAAAAAAAAAGAAAAAAAAGTAATACAAAAATTAAAGAAATCATAAAAAAAAATAAAGCATAAAAAAATTAAAAAAGAAGTCCCCGCCCCCACATACACACGCATATATGCGTCGGGTGCTCCTACGCGCGAAACCGCCGATTGTGCCGCACATGTTACATATCGCCGCAAACGTCGGAGAGCAATAATTTTAGAGCCATTAACTGATAACACTAAACTGATGAGCAGTAAAAGCGTTTTAATCGTCGCCTATGGGCGTTTTTCGCGATTTTGCGGGGGCACGCAATTTTAAGGCTTGACACCCACCCCCCCGTGGTGATTATATACATACAAAATAAAGCTCTATCTGGCCCCATAAAATTTTAACATAAATTGCAAGGCTATAGGTCATGCTGACTGGTGAAATTTTTTACTGACTGGTGAGACACCATCAAATTTTTCAAGCCCTGGCTATGAGGTTTGCTTGGCCCTATTAACCTCCCTGGTAGTATGATTATTATTTTTTCTTTCCTTTTTTGCTCTGTTTTTCGTTTGTTTTTTTTAACTTGTAAACTTCCCGCCGGTTCCGCCCCCCTGCGGCGCGGAGGCTCGCAAGGGACGGAACCCGGAAGACTGATGCCGGCATTGGCCGGAGGACACAGCGGGGATCAGCGGATAAGGTAAGAGACGCAATGCTGTATTCCCGAGTCTGGCTCGGGGGTTACCGCTTATGGTACAGAAAATTAACCCCGATCCAGACTCGCGAATACTGCCAGGGAGGTTAATACATGTGTTCCTTTTGATTTATACTGTTTTACTATGGGGATATCATTTATATATACCATATTTTTCCGTGTATAAGACGCTACTTTTTCAAAAAAAATTTTACCTAAAAATAGAGGGGCGTCTTATACACGGGGACCGAGAGGAGAACCGCGGTTGCGAAACTGCAAAAAGTTCCGATACCACTGCAAACTAGCCTCACGAGTGAAACTTCGGATTGCAGAGACAAGATAAGTTTTCCTCCAATCATAAATCTTTTGTACCCGACATCAGCTGTTGCTGGGGAGAGTGGAGGAAAACTTATCTTGTCTCTGCAATCCGCTCTCCCCAGCAACAGCTGACGTCATGTACAAAAGATTTATGATTGGAGGAAAACTGTTATCTT